TCTACCGCCTAATAGAAGTTGCAGATGAGGTTCAGATGATGCGACTTCGGCCAGAAGTGCTCGAGATGATAGAGAAATACTGTGTTGTCTCTAGATCAGATATTTATGAACAACATCAGGGACTCAATGCAATTATAGAAGAGGTAAACAAGACCTTGAAGACTTTAATCCCTCCTGTCCCGCAACATCATCATTGGAAAATTGCCGCGCGCAATTGTAAAAAATTCCTTGAGGTAACTTTTATTTCAATTAAATTATTAAATATTACATACTAATTTTATAATAAATTATAGCTTAGAAATAACTTACTCAAAGTAATCGGGTATAATGATTATCAAACCTACGGACCAAGAACTCAGCCAGAATCCACTATGGAATGCCAAAGATTTCAAACTTATCTTTGAAGTCTTGAATTCGTGAATCGAAGCCTAGAAGAATATGGATTGAATGATAACTTAATAAATTTCACATATTTAGCAAAACAAGCTCGACAAAATTTCATTACTGAAGTATTTATTAACCAAAATAATTCTCCATTATTTAGGCTAATACCGGTTTTAAAACAAGAAGCGAAGGCTCAAAAAAGTGAAGAAAATATGACTAAACCTGAAATTTTGCTAAAGATAGGAAGCCTTCTTGAACAGCTTGGCGAAAATACACGAAAAAAATATTCCGGATTGAAGTCAAAAAAGAAAAATGATTTGTTATGTATATTACAAGAGATAAAGCTTGCATTCGATTCAGACAATGACCTTAATAATCAAGATTGTTTGGAGTGAAAATTTTTTTTTTTATAGGGTTGCAGAAGAGTTGGTATCGGATATGAACCGTTTTTACAGTGAAGTTCGTAAGGAAAGTTTTATCAGAAATATTCTCAAAGCAAGGGAATGGAAATTTTTTATTTAGGCATTCTTCAACAGATGTTTCTCCAACACCAATTTTTTTTGACGAACTATCAGGAATCGAAGAAATAAAGATTTTTTTTTTTCTTTTTTTTAACATATAACCGTATTACTGTATTAATAAATAAAAAATCAATAAAACAATTTTATTAAATTTAAAATTTTTTAATTTTAACCAATCATTTTTTTTTTGATTGGGATAATCTAGAATATTCTGATTGGCAATATTTTTACCATATTAGGAAATTGATCGCCAAGATATATTTGGTAAATTCCCTGACTGAAATTAGATTAGAAATTTATAGATTTATTTTATTAGTATATTATGTGAAAAGTTTATTTATACATACAAAATTTATTATTAGTTATAATAGTATTGATTACTATTCTAAACAAATTTAATACTTTTTATATATACAGTTAATTTGTTCATAATATTGCTTTGCAAATTTAAAAATAAAAGATATTATTTTTATATTAATGATAAAAAAGAAACTTGTAATATCAAACTGTAATATTTCAACTTTATTTTAAAAATCATAATTATATAATACTAGTTATCATATTTTTAAATGTTTCATTCTAATAAAATATAAAATTTTAGATTAGTAAAATGCTATACAATACTTAATTATCAAACTAATTAATAGAAAATATCATATTTATTAAAGTTTTATTAAATTTTTATTAATGTAAAAATTATTTCTTTATATATTTTTTAATATAATAGACAAATTTTTATGAAATTTAATGTTTATTTTAAACTATTTGATTATAAAACAAGGGTTCAAATATTAATTGACTGTTAAATAATTTTTAATATTATTAAAATGTTATCAAATTTTAGTTAAAAAAATTATAGATTAAATTTAAAATTTAATTGATTTGTAATATGATTAAAAGATTTTTTAACTAATATAAATTTAATTAAATAAAAATATACTGATTTTATATACTTATTTAATTATATTAATATTAAATTAAAGCTAATTTTAGACTAATTTATAATTGAATTTAAGTTCTAAATTGATACAAATTATTTTATTTGATTGAAATTAATTAGTAATGATTTAGATAATTAGAAAATATAAATAATTAACTATAAATAATATCAAAATTAGCTTAAATTTAATTATTTAATTTCTAGTTGATTTAGACTATTTTAGCTAGTATAAAGAGATATATTTAAAAAGAGTTAACTATATTATAGTATTTCAAATAGTATTATATTATAGTATTGTATTATATTATTATTTATAGTATTATATTATAGTATTATAATATGATATTTTATTACAATATAGTATTATAATTTTATAATTTTATATTTTAATATTAAATATTACATAAAAAGATGAAAAAATATTAAATTAAATTATGACTTTAAACTAATTTTATTTAATTTTATAAAAACTCAATATAAATTATATTAAAAATATTCAAATTTTAATTAAAGATAAAGTAAATTAAATTTATAATAAAAAATATCTAAAAAGTTAAACTTATTAAACTTTATTTAATTTTTAATGTACTTATTTACTTAGTTTTAAGTTTAAGATTTAATGTTAAATGCATATCCTTTATATATATACTATGTAATGATTTTAAAAGTTCTATCTATATTGGTAATATTTTCTTTAACTCTAAATATTTTTATATTATATATTATAATTTTTATAGATATGTTAATATAAAAATTTTGTCTTTTTTAATAAAAAATAAATCAACATGCTTTTTAAAATTTTTAAAAAATATTACCTTAATAGACATTCAAAAATATGAAGTTTTCTTTTATTAATAATAATAAAAAAATTTAAGTTTAATATATAAATTGATTTGAAAAAAAATGAGAAGTTAGAGTTAACAAAACTATTATAACATAAATCTTACAAATTAAAAAAAAGTAACTTATCACTAAAATTATCTACCTAAAACAAAGTGATAAAAATAAGTTACCTTTCTAAAATTTAAATTACTTTTAAGAGTTTATATTAAATTATTAGTATTGAATAATTCTTAGTAATATAATATTAATTGAAAAAGTTAAATTATTAGTAAATAGATTAGAAATTCCTGAAAATATATTATAATTTTCTTTGATTAGTTTTAAAGATTTAAAAAAATGAAATAAAATTTATCAAAAAAACTTTAAAAAGAGGCAATTTTTACTAATAAAGCTGCTATAATTGAAGCTTTACTATTATTATTTAATATATATGCTAATTATCATTTTAAATAAATTTATAATATAGATAAAATAATATTTTTTTATTGATACATATAAATTTTATTATTTTATTTATTATTATATATCAATTCTTATACTAATCATATGATTTTTTCCAAATTAAAATCAGATTAAACAATAGTTACAAAATGTTTTTTTAGATGTAAAATAAATAAAAAATATCTTTTTATTACTTTATATTAGAATATTAATAGATTACATAAATTATCTCTTTAATAATCAAAAAATATACAAATCTAAAGATACTTTAAAAATATTAATATTTATAATTTATATATGATATACTAAAATAATGCTAAAGTTTGAATGCTTATAATAACTTTTTAAAATAAATTTATAAATTTGATTGTAAAATTATATAAAAACATATTTTATTATTACTTGATAATTATTTAAGTTATAAGATAGAAAATCTTACCCTTTTATATGTTAAAGTTTATTTTTTTTACCTTTAAATACAATATCAAAATTTAGCTAATAAATACCAGAATTACTATGTTTTTTAAGAAATATTATTATCATTATCATATTTAATAAGTAATTTACTTTATATTATTTATACTTTATTTTATTAAATAATAATTATTTTTTTTATTTAGCTAGTTATTAGAATAGGATAAGATTAACAAAATATACAGAATTTAAAGATAAATATTTTGCAAGTAATTTGATATATTATTTCAAGTTAAAATAAAGTTAAAATTTGTAATTACTAAAATTATATCAGGATTCTTCTTAACAATGAGCTTTTAAATAATAATAAAACTGATAATAAAACTGATAATAGAATTCTTAATGAAATAATTCAGCTTTCAATCTTTTTAATGCAATATAAATATCTAAATTTTTAAGAAAATATTATATATAAAATTCTTAAAAAGGATCAAATTTTTGAAAAGTTTAATAAAATTACTGATAATTTAAATAAAATAGATGATAGTAACAAAATGGTGATTATAAATACTAATGTAATGTTAAAAGTTTAGAAATTGGGAATATATTTTTATTATAACAAGAAAATGCAGATAAATATATTAAATTAGTAGGTAAAGTTGAAAGTTTTATTAGAAAGAAATATGTATATATTAATAGATTACAATTATTAATATTTTAATTAATAATTATTTTATTAATTATAATAAATGTTAATAAGAAAATTAAATAATAAGTAATTTTTTGTTTATTAATATATAATAAAATATATTTCTTTTATAATTTTATAATATTAAATCTTTTAAAAAATTTTTTATAATTATACCTTTATAAATACACGCTTATGTCTAATTCTAAAAGGTATATATTTATAGAGAATTGATTGTATTAAATTATAACTATAATTATTTAATAACTTATCTTTTTATTATTAATTTAATAAAGTCATGTTATATAAAAAGTTTGCTAGGAAAATCAGATTTAGAGAATTTTTTTTTTAACTAAACTTAAAATCTTATTACATTTTAATCTAATAATATTAAAACTAAAATGCAATAAAGAATAAATTTTTCAGATTTTTTAGTAATCTAATATTTGTTAAAAGTATTTAATAAAATAATCTATTTCATTAAAATTTAATTATTATGTTAAAACTTATTTAATTAACAATATTATGAAAAAAATTGTATTAGAATTATATTTTTAATATCATAGCTTTATTTTAAAATAATAGATAAAGTCCTAAACAGAATATATACAAAAAAAAAGAATCGGCTAATTATATCATATGATATAAAAATTTTATCTGATCCCTTAGAATCTTCTAGTACGTTCTTTCAAGATGAGATAATGAACGAAATCTCTCTATATATATATAAGAACGAGACTCTTGTTTTTTAGTAAAATAACGGGCAAATATGAGTGTAAGTGTGGTTCTTTTTTTTTTTTTTTTTTAAAAAAAAAAGAGTTTTGCCTGCAATTCGTTAAATACATTGAAGTTAAAGACAATTTACTTAATATAACTTTTTAAATTACTTTTTAGGCTGAAGAGTTCAAAAGCCAAGGGAATAAATCATTTGCCGCTAAGGATTATGACAAAGCAATAGAATTATTTACTAAAGCCATAGATTTAGACCCCTCAAATCACGTACTCTACTCGAATAGGTCAGCCTCGTATGCATCATTAAAGAAGTATGATAAAGCTTTAGAAGACGCAAATAAAACTGTTGAATTGAAAAAGGATTGGGCAAAGGTAATATATTTTCTTTAGCGGAAACGCGCCATTTTTTATTTAATACTAATAACAATTTAAAAGTGTTGATTTTACTTTTTTTGAATAGGGATACAGTAGAAAGGGTGCAGCACTACATGGTCTTGGGAAATTAGAGGAGGCCCGTGAGACATATCAAGAAGGTCTTAGATATGAACCAAATAATGCTCAACTCAAAAAAGCACTTGAAGAGGTCGAGTCAAGTAAGTGAAGAAGAATTTCATGTGATTGTAAAAATACAGTTATAGACTTAAATTCATGGAATTATTTACGCGATTTTATTAGGCCCACCTAGTAAAATATTTCCCGATGATGTATTGGTGAAAATCGCGTTAAACCCACAATTGAGATCATACCTTGATCAACCTGATTTCGTTGAGAAGATTAAGTCGATACAAAATGATTCCAAACAACTTAACACGTAAGTATTAAAATATAGATATAATATTGATCAATAGTATTATATTAAATGAAAATAAAGATGACGAATTATGACTAGTCATTTACAGGATCCCCGTATAAGGGATGTATTTATGTACATACTGACTGGTGCAACGAATCCTTCAAGTGGCTCACGAGATTCACCAGAACCTGAAGAAGTACGTATGATAGCAAAAATTTTGCTTTAATATACATATTTTTAAATCAACTTTATTTTAAATTTATTAGCCTAAGCCGAGAGAAGAGAAAAAACCAGATCCTGAACCACAAACACGTGACATCCCAGACGAAAAATCTGAAGAAGAGCTTAAGAAAGAAGCAGCTAATAAAGAAAAAGATCTTGGAAATGCGGCATATAAGAAACGAGAATTCGAAGAAGCACTAAGATATTATGATAAAGCTTGGGAATTAGATAATACTAATGCATCAATTTTAACCAATAAAGCTGGTTAGTACTTTTAATCTTTAATTCATTAAATATTTTTATCAAAGTTAAATATCAACTTTTTTGGTTTCTTTTATTAGCTGTATTGTTCGAGCAAGAAAAATATGAAGAGTGTATTAAAGTTTGCGAAGAAGCTATCGACGTTGGTCGCGAACATCGCGCAGATTTCAAATTAATTGCCCGGTAAGGACGCATCCTATTCGAAGGACCTAATATAATAGTATTTTGATATAAATAACTTTCATTTTACAGTGCATATGGAAGAATTGGAAATGCATATCATAAATTAGGAAGATTGGATGATGCAATTAAATACTATCAAAAATCATTAACAGAACATCGTACACCGGACACATTGAAAAAATTAAATGATACAGAAAAATTAAAAATTAAGAAAGAGAAAGAAGCTTATCATAATCCTGAATTATCCGATAAAGCTCGTGAAGAAGGAAATGAATTATTTAAAAAAAATGAATTTGTTAAAGCTGTTACAAGCTATACTGAAGCTATTAAACGTAATGAAAAAGATCCAAGAGCTTATAGTAATCGTGCCGCTTGTTATACCAAATTAATGGCTTATCCTGAAGCATTGAAAGATTGTGAAACTTGTATTAGTCTTGATCCTTCTTTTGGTATGTCAACGATTTTTTATACAGTTGTATTTTACAGTAATCATATTCATTGTTATTTCATTTTTTACCTTATACAGTTAAAGCATATATTCGTAAAGCTGCTGTTGAATTTTTAAAAAAGGAATATACAAAATGTTTAGAAACTTGTGAAGCAGCTTTGAAACATGATGTGGATGGTCAACATGCTCTAGAAATTACTAAACAAATGACAAAATGTCGTGAAGCCATATGGCAAGGTAATTCTAGTGGTTCTCAAGAAAGTACTGAAGAAGCTCTAAGAAAGGCTGCAAGTGACCCTGAAATCATGGTATGTATTTGTTTTATTTAATATATATATTGCAAATAATTTTGTTTCTGATTCTTTAAAAATTTTTTTCTTTTTTCAGAGAATCCTTCAAGATCCCGTTATGCAACAAATTCTTAAACAAAGTCAAGATGATCCTCGTGCTCTTAAAGAGTATGTATGAGAAATGTGATCTAGACCTTTATAAGTTCTAATGCCGTTTTTATTAATAATAATTATTCTTTTTTATAGACATTTGAAGAATCCTATCGTGGCAGCAAACATTCAAAAGTTAATCAATGCAGGAGTTTTGAGGACTAATTAGATTGTTCGCATTTTTAATTTTGAAATAAAAATTTATTAGTTTGGAAATGAGATCATTTTTTTGTTATGTTTTATAGCTGTTTATAAAAAAAAAACATCTTTTTATATTTATGTATTTGCATTTAATAAAATATCATATATGCATTATATAAAATTAATGTAATTTATTTGCACAGATAAAATTTTTTGCGTTAAATAAAATTTTTATTGATTAAAAAATATTATTTTTAATCTTTTTGCTTTTAATTATTTATTTGTTTAATGACAAATGTCATTCTTTGAAAGTCATAAAAAATCAATCATAAATTCACAATAATTTGGAAGTATAAGGTGAGAGCAGTTAAACTCAACCTAAATTTTTTTTTTTTTTTTGTTATAATTTTTTTAAAAAAAAATTAATACACTTCAAAAAGCAACATGAATTCATCATATATATATAATAAGTACAAAGTTGTTACAAACGTGTCAAAAAAAAAAAAAATAAAATAAAAATAAAAAAAAAAGTAAAAAAAAAAAAAAAACAAAACAAAATTAACAAATTACAAGTCAAATAAATCCCACCTTTAAATTGCAAATTACTTTTTTTTTTTTTTTTTTTTTTTAAAAAAAAAAAAAAACAAAAAAAAAAACCAATATCCATCTTTGAAATAAAAAAAATATTTTTCTGACATTTACATCATAATAATATTAATAATTCTATCAAATACTTCTATCTTTTCAACAAATTTCTCTCAATTCCTTTCCCAAAATTTTTTTTTTTTAATAAAAATAAAAATAAGGAAACAAAACAATCTCATATAAATATTCTTAATGACGAAGTAGTAGTTTTTGATTAAAATCTGTATCAAATTGACCGACCTTTTTTATAATTAATATATTTTTTCAGTCCCTTACTTATTTGCATCTATTTTAAGCCATTTGATATGGCAAAGCATTTATTTCTCTTCGATTATTATACTTTTGATCATTATTAAGATGATGCACATCATTTGTCATCGGTTTATTATTGGGAACAATTGGGTTCATTTGATTTGGTGACGTTCGCTGTGATGATGGTAGAGGTCTTGCCTGTGATGATGTATTCTGATGATGATGATGATGATGACCAACATTATGATTTATTTGCTGAAAATACGAAGGTAATTCATAAGTAGGCGAAGAGGGGATACCGTATCCTGAAGACGGATTATTTGGTGGATATGATGGCGAAGTAGATGGGGATATTCGATGATTCCGATTTGATTGTTGTGAATGTAGATTGTGTTGATCATAATTTGCTGGAAGGGCCAAATTATGATGATAATTTCCCGATGATGCTATTGAAGATGAACTTTGTTGCTGCTTCGGTTGTGGATGAGTCGCAGGTAACGGCAACTGATGATGCTGAGAATGCGTCATATATGGTGAAGTGCTAGGTGTGGTATAATGGCTTGGTGAATTACGAAATGATGATGGAGATTGGTTATTATATGAAGGAGATGAACGGAAATTAGAAGGACGAGGATGTGCTTGAGTCATAATAGGTGAAACTACATTTACAGAAACTGGTAATGGTGACGGATGACGCAACCCGGACTGCTGATGATGATGCTGCGGCAATACTGGTCTTGATGATGATGATGATGATAATGATGATGATGATGATTGCCATGACTTATTATTGCTAGAACCATTATTTGGAGTATTGTTTTTTGACTGCTCAATTTGCATTTGTTGGAGTTGTTGTAGAGATTTTTGATGATATTGCTGTGTTAAATGTAACGGAGGTCCAGATGTTCCGAGAATACTATCATCCAAGCCACCACTTGAAATTCCAAATCCTGCAGCTCCATTTGGCATACTACCAGGCATTATCATAGACTTGAGCGTCTCATTCTCGGTATTATTATCTGTGATCTTATCATCATTTGAGCTAACGGTTGGTGACTTATTTCGTTCATCTTTTAGTAATCGCTCATCTTGATGATTACGTCCCTCTTTGTCTTGCCAAACATCATCTCTTTTTCGAATGTCAACCTTATTCCCACCAGATAGTGTATTATTATTAGGACTATTCGTCTGATCAGACACACGATTATTCTCGTTACTATCAACTATCACAGAAAATTGTGGTAATTCGTGTTGTTGATCACGTTCTTGCAACAATTGTAAATGAGGATAATTTTGTGGCAGTCGTCTTGGATCTTTTTTAGAATGTTCTACTGGTGATGCTCCGATACTACCTGGGGTAACAAGCGCTGCAGCTCGTTGTATCTGTGGTGGAATTTGAATATTTCCAATTGTACTAGCTCTTGGCCTTAATGAACTTATACTAGATTTTGGCGCTAATGAAGACATCTTATTTGATATTTGCTGCTGCTGTTGTGGCTTTTGCCTTGAAGGTGGTACATGACTGTTAGAAGCAGGAACATGCGAAAGCTTTAACGTAGGCATATCATGAGCGATAATAAGAGGATTCTTGGGCTGCACTTTTGGAGAATTATTTGATGCTTTGTATTTAATGGGTGAAGGGATTTGCATCAAATTTGGTGTCGGATTCGATGAATTTGAGGATATGGCCTGCGTTGACGTTCCCATCTTATTAGTTGCTTTAATCTGCATAGGTGGTGTAAATTTACCAGTAAATTTTTCGCCCGTTATAAATGGGTGTAATTTCGCTTGCTGAGGAGACCAGCGTTCTATAGGATTAAGATTCAATAATCCTTGTACAAAATCGATAAAAGCCAACCGATTTTGCATCTCTAATTAAATAATATTTAAATAAAATTTTAAGATAAAAAAATTTGATTAATTGTGAAAAGAAGTAGTTGATTTACCTTTATCGATGTCCTTTTGTGTTAAACCTTTTCTCATGATCGGATAAGATTGAACGATCTCTGGCAGCGTCCCTGCTGAGAAATATCTCTTGGAAGGTTGTTCCACAGTATTATGTTCTCGCATGTATTGTTCCATCGATTTCAATCGATATTTCTTTTGGCCATGCTCGTTCATATAACGATCAAAGTATTCGTGGGCGGTTTTCCCAACTTCAATCATATAGGCTGGTGGAATACCCATCATCTCAACGATCCGAGACACTTGATTATATTCAGAACTACCTGGAAATAATGGCAATCCTAAGAATAGCTCAACAGCGATACAACCTAATGACCACATGTCAATCGAGGATGAATACCTGTGAAAGGGAAATATGCATAAATATTTTTTGATTCTATGTAATATATTTTTAATACCAAATTTGCTTACGGTAATCCTAATAGTACTTCAGGACTTCGATAAAATCGCGATTGAATATATGTATAGACTGTCTGACGTTCATGGCATGCGGAACCGAAATCGATCACCTTAATCGTAGGTGACTCCAAACTATATTAGAACATTGATCAGTAATGGAAATATTTACATAACTTAATACCTTTTTAAATTCAATAATATACTATATAATATAACGCACGAAGATTTCACACACTTTTTCAACAGCACATTTTCTGGTTTCAAATCACAGTGAATTATACGTGCTTCATTCAACACTGTCAAAGCGTCCAGTAATTGGGCAGTAAAAACTCTGACAAGGTTTGTACTAAGTCCTCGAAATTGATTTTGCTTAATTAGTTCATAAAGATTAACAGACAAAAGTTCAAACACAAGACAGAGATGTCGACGGTGAATAAACGTATCCAAAAGTCGTAGAATATGATGTTGATCTTGATTATCCCATGTTTGGTTTAGCTAATAAATTCAAGGAAAGTTAAAAATTAACGAAATAATTGAAGAGTGAATTTTTTTTTTAGGTGACTTAAAGATAAAACACCCATGCATCATAAAAAATTTCTTTATACTCTACCAGCTCTAATATAGTCACTTCCATCATACTCTGATTAAAATAAGCGGGCTTATTTTTCACAACTTTAACTGCCACAATGTCCTTTGTCTTCAAATTCTGACATTTTACAACTTGCCCGAATGTTCCTTGACCTAAGACATCTAATATGAGATACCTATTTATATGAAAATAAATGTTGAGGAAAAGGAAGAGGAAGAAGGAAAAAAAAAAGAAGAGAGAACAAAAAAACCTCTTACTTTTGCCCTTCTTCACTACCTAGTATATCGTTCACGTATAGAATATAATCACAGTCTTCGTTATCAAAACCATCATTTTTTACACCTTTTGATGGTTTTGTTAAAACACGACGTGGATTGTAAGTTAGATCGTACCGAAAATGAGGATTGATATTCTGGTACGTTGATGTCAGGTAAATAGTCAACGCTTTTAATGTCTGTGTTCGTGAATAAATAGTTTACGGACGCAATTTTTACGTTATCCCATGACACGACAAAAAAAACGAGGATGACAGCTAAAAAGCCTGCGAAATATCAAGTATATCGCAGGGGTTAATAAAATCGCACATACACTGACAACGACTTTCGAAGATTCTACTCTACGTGCTGGTTGAGGTCGCAAATCCGATATTGATCGGACTTTCCGAAATGCGGTAGTTCGATATTCACCGCCAAAATCCGTTCGAGATTGATTTAATTGTTGAGATGGCTTATTTTGTGAGGTAGTTACTGCATTCGGTGACGAAGGTTGAGAATTAGGAGAATATGTTGACTTATAACCAATCTGTATGGGTGGGCCAAGTTGTGGAGGAGGTGGTGGTTGTTGACCACTAGATTGCTGTAGCTGTGAATGTGAAGGGCGACGATGTTGACGAGAATTAGTATGAGAAGGTTGGTGTGTCTTATTATGTGAATGAGGTGAATATGATTGACTTTGTTGAGGAGATTGTTGTAATTGATGTCCAGACAAAGACCGTTGATGAGGCTGAACATTTTGATGTTGAGAAGTGGGGGTTTGTAATAAAGTATAATGTCCGGATGGGGAATTTGGAACGTAATTATCTAATCGTCGTCTACTGTGGCCTTCTGGTGGTTCTTGTTGAATAGAATTTGGAATTGGAGGATATGAATTTTGACGTTGTGAATTCAATGGAATTTGTTTCTGTTGTGAAGGATGCGAAGGTGATGAAGCATTATTCATTATAGGTAATAGTGGTAATTGCTTTTGTGAAAAATCATCGCTTATTGTTATTCCAACGAAATCTGTTCTTTCAGAATTGTTATATCTGTGTTGAGGAGTTTGATTATATGATATATTATGATCGGAACGCCTTCGACTATGCGAGGCGCCATCCATTTTTTTCAAATGTTGTTACCTATGAAAGAATAAATTCGATTAATTAATTAATTATATTATATTTATAAAAGCGATAAAATAATATGTATTTAACATAAATAGGGAAGAATGAGATATCAGAAAAAATTGAAATAACTAACGGAATACTTTATGAAGGGTTTAAGTATAAATTTGACAAGCTCGCGAAGTTTGTTCGATCAACAATTCCTATTAAAATACAAAATGGGTTAAAAATTAAATCAAATAACTTTTATTATGATTGAATAAAAACTGACATTGAGCGCGTTCTCAATAACTTGATGTAAGTTTTGCTTAAAAAGACTAAACAAATGTATATACAAAACGAATGATATAATTAAATAAAAAACGCGGAAATAAAATGTGGGCTCAAAATGTAAAAACGAAATGTTTTTTTAGGCATTATAGATCTTTAGTTTAAAAAATAAACTTACCGAGACGAAGTAAAAAAGTCGAGTATAAAGGTATTGAAAAGGGAGTTAACTTTTTTTTTTTTGAACAGAGTTAAGAAACAAAAGACTGCAACTTTCCAAATGTCTTTCAAAAAGGTTCAATTGGTAGTATGCAAAATCGATATGCTTTAATTCTAAAAACGAATCTAGGACAAGTAAATACTATAAAAATATTCAAACAACAAACAAATTTGTGCTTTCGTACACTTGAAATTTTTTAATTATTTTAATTTTTAATTTGTTTTCAACCAGTTTGTATCGCTTGGACCCACTGAAATAAATCACATGATAATAGAATTCTATTTTTAGGTCAAAAATTCCATGTATGTATAAATAAAATATTTTTTTAAAGTAAAAATCACATGATATTCGAGGAGAGCTCTAATTTTAAGGACACTCTTTTTAGATACTCCATTTTCAAAATCGCGCGAAAACAATGTTTTATAATTAAAAATCAAATATTTAATTCGGTACTATAAACTTATTTTTATAAATCAAATCATTTTTTCAAAATAATAGATAATTTAGGATATATTTTAACATGTTTGCGAAAGTTTATACAAAATTTTTCGTTATTAGTTTATCCTTTTTTAGGAATGATCTACGATTAGCATGAATGTGTTTATTTTATTATTGACCCCAAAATTTTTTCTTTAAAAAAAAAAAAACGGCTCAATGAAATGATGTAAAATAAATAATTTATATTAGTTTAATTAAAAAAAAGGGGGGGATATCAACTCTAATTAAAATAATTTAAAGGTAGATAGATATAATAGATAATTAAAATAATCTAAAGGTAGATAGATATAATAGATAACTATTTTAAATTCACATTAATTATTAATTATTATTAATTATTTTCTTGGGTTTGTGCTAATCGTGCTTCTAAACTTCTAAGAGCCTCTTCTTTAGCCAGCAATTCTTGTCTTTTTTCGGTGATTTCACGTTGAACCTTCAATTCAATTTCTCTCAACTAATATGGGAAATAGAAAATTAATAACGCGATTTATAGATATAATGAATTAATGCACGCGAACTTACCTTCTCTTCTTCGCGTTTTAATTGTTCTTCTTTCAATCTTACACTTTGAGAAGTAAGTTCTTCCGGCAGGATATTATTCGAGGTTTCCCTAACATTTTAAAATATATCAGATGGTTATCTTTCATGTATATGCATAACTAGAGTAGTATAATCTGATATAATAAAAATAATAATGCTTACTCGACAGGGGTGTCAGCACTACTTCGACTAAGTTTATCTGTACGATAATTTTCATACAAGAAATCATGAGTAATTTCTTTCAGATCTTGTAAATGAGAGCTAAGATCATTAAACAAATTAGAATTTTCAAATCTTCAAAGAAAGTAAGAAGGCAATTCTGACTAATATTAACCTTAACAAAGCTGATCGTAATCTAGCAAAGTCCGAGTGTTGTGGATTATCAACTATAAAAAAAAATTTTAAGTTTCATCATGTGAACGGATGATGTAATCATATTCGAGTTATATAACATACCTTCAACAACACCCCATGGGTATTGGCGCCCGCGAACGGATCTTCCATTTACTTGAATTTCTTCTTCACTGCCAATAATGGCAAAGGGTAAAAGGGCCTACATATGCAAATAAATCAATATAATATTTAATATAATATATAAAAAAGTTTTACTTTATTCCGATAACTAACTCTCGCATACCCTAAGTTCTCCATTTTCTTCAACAGTTTCCTCATCATCTTCCTCTACATCGAATGGGAAGTTGTAAATTGGAATATTATAGTGATTGATATCTTCCATGATCTATTTAAGATGTAAATTATTCATAAGAACGGTCTCCCATATAGGCATTACATTTTTTATTTTTATTTTTTCATAACATACCCTCTTTTTGAATTCAGCTAATTCTGTTGGTGTACAAGTATCAGCTTTACCAATAACAGGAATCACATTGACACGTGGACTCAGTCGTTTCATTAATTCAATATCGATCTCCCGGAGACTACAGAAAATTGGTCATTATAGGTTTATCAAAAACAAATTTGCATAAAGTAATGCGGATACATACGAATGACCTGTTGGAGTAATGAAGTAAAGAAGAGCGTGTACGCGATTATCTCTAAAGCGTGGATTACGTTTGATCCGCGATTCTTCAGCAAGGATGTCATCATACTGTCTTTCTAAATATCCCATAATTTCTTGAAAACTAGACAAATTTTTTAAATCGATCTAGGTGATTAGTTGTACTAAAATTACGAAGAGTTATTAATAAAAGAATTTACCAAAATTCGTTGTCAATATTGTCACCAAACCCAGGAGTGTCTACAATCGTTAAAGCGATTCTTACACCATCCTCGTCCAATTCTATAAATATATTTGAACTTTTGGGTTAAATTGATAGGTTCTATTATAAAATATATATATATATACCATTCTTGGATGATTACTAACCAACTGTGACGGGTTTTATACGAATACCTTCTTCCACATGTGCAGTTTCGGGAGAATCGCAGAGTTTTTTGGTTAAAACTTCACTACCACATAGTGTGTTTACAAAGGTAGAGCGACCGATACCAGACGCGCCTGCAAAGGATCAAACAAGATTTATGGGATAAAAGGTTTAATTTCCTAAATGAAAAAGTTTTAAAAAGATACCCGGTTATAAAAATAGAAACTTACCAACTACCATAAGAGTAAATTGGAAACCTTTTTTAACGTTCTTTCTACGTCCACCTAACCTCTGTTGAATCATCATAAAATAAAAAAGGGAGTAAGAGCTAAAACGACCTGGTCCCACAACGGTTATAAAAATAAAAGACAGTATTAGTTAGTATACTTACGTGAGCCATGTTATAAAGGTCGTACTTATTTGATGAGAATATTTTGGTAGATTTTAAAAAGCGTTAAAGCTTTAAAATAAAGTAAAGAGAAGAAAAAGATTAATATGATAGAGATTTATTTCAAAGGAGTGTAAAAAAGATAGTTCGTTCCTAAGTAAATAAAAACGAAATATGTGAGAAAACGCGTCTCAAAAGTAATAATAGCTCTGCAATCCGCAGTTGAAGCAATTTAAATTATTGCGCAGATGTTTGCACATCTTAGCATAAACTCGAACCTATTAAAAACCATTAATTCGAAACACTCCCTAATTTTAAAATTTGTGTATGTAAATGCTGTAAATGTTGTAAATGTTCTATAACAACAAAACAATGTCAAAAGTTTCCATTATTGGTCAATAAGTGCTCCAATAAGGTATCGAATTTATTTTGTTTTTGAAGGAAATTTTATCTATTACAATATTATTTTAACTAATTCTAATTAAATGATAAATAAATATATGTATATAATGTATAATGTATAATATAATATACAGACTACTAAATAAAATAAATGAAAGATATATCCCAAATTTCTTACAAACCATAATAATTTTTATTTAATTAAACCTGAACCCCAACCTGTCAAAACTCTTTGACATTCTTGTTTTACATGATCAGCAATTGGTGACTTCCATATTTTCATGGCTACAAACATTCTAGCATATTTAAGACAAACCTCTCGGGAAAAATTTGCGTACATACGACTATTAATTACTTTCTGTTTTAATTAAGAAAAAAAAAAAATGAATTGAAATTAAATTCGAAAAAAAATATGCATAACCGTATTGAATCGCAACACAAACCTGCCAGTGCGGATCTTCATAGTTAACGAGATGTGAATCTTGATTAAAATGATGTTGTATTAAGAAATTATCAGGATCAACATATAATTCAGCGCCACTTAAATATATTTCAAAAATACAAGCCGCTTTATTATCATCAAAGCGTTCTGAACACCTATAAAGAAATTACGTGTTATAATCAATCATCTCAAAGAAACTGAATTGATAATCCAAATAAACTTACCAAGGGGTTTGTCCGCCTTTGCTTACGACAAAGTTTGGCCTATAATGTAATTCATATTCTTCTACATGAAATAATTCATTAGCTTTTAACCAACTTTCTAAACAAGTAGGTCCACTATTAATCTCCCAACCATAATCTTGTAAGCCTAATTTATGTTGATTTACTAAATTAACGACATCATCTTTTTTTTGAGGAAGTTGATACTTTGTGGTATTTCCAACAAAAATAAAAGTAGGTAAAATTAAAACATTATTTTTAGTTAATAAATCAGTATAACGTTTAATATTTGAATGAGTTTCAGTAGTTGGCCAGGTATCAAAATCAAGGAAAAAAACGAATTCAGTTCTAGCAAAAAATCGAGCCAAGTTCATATGAAAATTAGTCGGAGTTGGTAATAATGTTTCATTAAGTGAACTTGATGGACCTGTTATCAGATGAATGTCAATTTGATTTTTTAAACTTGGTTTGCTTTTATAAATTTTCTTGAGTGAATTAATTGTTTCAACTATGAGAGGGTCAGTTAATCCTATTTTAGAAGGAATATGTAAAGTCGCTGATATAGGTCCTAAAAAATTAAAAGAGATAGATAAATTAATAAAAGAAACCAAAGTAAAAAGTAAGATGCAAACGATATCACTTTACCTTGCCATATTTCAGCCAATCTAACTAATTCATCTAAACGATTATTGGTAACAAATGTAATCACTGTTATATCATCGGGATTAAAATTCGATTGAGCACGAATATAATAAGGATGTATACTATCAGTTAATGAATGAGGAGAATACGTATGACTTTTTAAAAATCTAAGTTTATTGGTCATTTCAGATAATGGAGAATTTTGATGTGTGTCTAATGAATTCAAAAATAAAACAAATTTATATCAATATCGATTCAAAAAAAAATAAAATAAAATAAAATAAAATTGGGCATTAATTTTTCATAAATTTGTTACCATATGTTCTAAAGATAGGTTCAGTAGGCTGATGTCCTGATGTCTCGGATAAAGAAATTCCATTGTTCCCAAAGGTATATTTTGCTAATTGCGTTATAGAAAATATTATAGAAAAAGCCATATACAATAATAATATGTATTTAGCTAGTTTTGACTTCCAGAACCACAGGAAATAAGTTTTTGGCGATCGTGACGGTGCTGATGTTCCACCTGGTAACTTTGAATAAGATAGATTAAAAAGCGACATTCTCTTAAATAAATAATTATGAATAAAAAAAAAAAAGTAGTGTTGAAAAACTTATATTTAACGACTATATAGTTAATTTCACTTGTTAAATAAAAAGAAACAAAATTGTGCTACCAAACTAAGATTGGATTTCCAATATCCGAAAGCCGAGGTTGAATGTATCTAGGGAATTAACCAAAGGAAAAGATAATTAACCAAAGGATATTTTTAGTTGACCAATCAAAACAAAAGGAAACTTTTTAAAAGTTATATTTAGAAATGTGTAGTAATACAAAAATATAACGATAAATATAATGTTAATTAACCGGTTAATTACCGTATTCTACCGATTTTAAGCACCACTTCGACTTTGAATAAAAATGACCTAAAGAACGAAAATAAGCACCACCTAAAACTTAAAATAAATTTATTTAACAATTCAAAATGAAGATTTTATTTATATCAATACATGTATATTTATTTTGAAAAATCTATTCATCAAACTCATCAGTTGAATATTCATCAGCCGAATCATTATCTATATTTAATATTTCCCTTTCATCATTATCATCTTTTTCAGTTTCATCTTGCTCAAACAAATCATCTTTCAACCCATCCATTGCATTACTAATACAATCATTTCTCTTGAAATTTCTGCCCAGGCTTCAAGAACCCACTTACAAATAATACTATAATTAGGTTTTTTTAAATTTCCACCTTTAGTATAGGTAAACTGACCTGAACTCATCCAAGCATTCTACTTTTCACGAAGTCTATCTTTAAATGGCTTATTAAAACAAACATCAAGCGGTTGAACAATAGAGGTAAGACCACCAGGGATAATTGCTAAATTAGTATTTATATTTAATGCAATATTTTTGATAAAATTTGTTTTGTGATTTTCAAAACTATCCATAACAAGAAGCGCCCTTTTTTAATTAACTCCATTTCCTTCAGATCTTTTTTTCCAAACTTTATCAAACCAAATTTTTATTCCGGATTCATCTATCCATCCTTTTGGATACATTAATCCAATAATTTCAGAAGGTAAATTTTTTGGTACTTTTTTACCTTTAAAAATAATGATTAGTGGTAGTTTTGTACTATCTGCAAGAACTGTAAGAACATATGTAAACTGATTTTTCTCATTTCCAGTTGTTCAGATTTGAACAGTTTTTGCATCATGTTCTTCAATAGTCAAACTTCCAATCATATCAAAAAAATAGGAGTTTCATCTATATTTCCAACCTCAAAAAGTTTATACCCAAACTTTTTTCATTTTTCAATAATATATCATTCAAATTTTAAAAGTTTTTTATCAAGATAGATAGGAAGCTTTTGACCAATTTTTGTTTTACGTCGTAAAGCAAACCCATTTCTTTTAAAAAAAATAATAAAATTAACGATCTGAAGCTAAAAAATTTTTACCATTCAGATAAGTATTAGCAAATTGTTTTGTTAAAAGTTCTTTCATATAAAATTTAACTATTTTAAAAGTAACAGCAATTCTATCTCTTCGAAAGTCCAAAAGTCATGTTTTTAAATTAGCTTCAGCTTCAGGATAATGTACTTTTCTTCCAACACCAACTTGTTGATTTTTGCCTTTTATAGATTTAAGTTTTTCTTCTTTTTTTTTGTCAATGAGAGATCATTGAATGATCGATAATAAAATGATGAGAAATAACCCCTAAATTATGTAGTTTTACATATTGCAAAACCTTAAACTTTTCTGAAGCAGAATAAAAAGAACATTGAACTTTAGGCATTAAAACAAAAAAAAAGGATAACTGGTAAGTTTACTAACACTGATCATATTTATTTTATGTAATATTATAACAAAGTTATAACATTTATTTTACAAAAGAAAATTAAAAATATTTTTATTTAAATGTTATTATTTTCGTTAAATTTTTCAAATATTAAAACTTTTTTTTTAAAAAAAAAGTCACAAATAATAAAGTAGTATATGAAACTTTCTGATTTTAAGCATTACCCTAAGTTTTAGTCTGATTTTCCCTTCAAAAATGTGGTGCTTAAAATTGGTAGAATACAGTAACTAAATCTTAATTAACTGTTAATTTCCTAACCTTTTTCATTAAGCGTTTTGGATAGTATTTCATATATAAATATTCTTTATACGTAATACAAAAAATTAATACTTATATTACTGCAAAAATCAATAAAATCAAATAAATTAATAATGAATTTACCTTTACAATTGTAACTTAGTAATGCTTATCAATTTATCAATATAGAGTTTATTCAAACATATCCCTTAAACTGTAGAGGTTCGCAGGCAAATTTGCCTGTTTATTTACTATAAATTCCCTTCTGATTTACTTTTATGAAAAATTAAAATTTTTAAAAAA